TAATGCCACCATTGTGGCATGCTTTTATGCTGAGCCTGAAGGAGACCTTAGACTGCTTCTCAACACCACCTTATAGTCACTACCAATTGGTCAGAGTGGACACAGAAGTGAACCTGATCTGCCACCATGTTGAAGGCAGGGGAAGTGTCTTGCGTCCCTACATACCTAGCAAAGTGCTATGAGCATTCCAGGCACTTATATGTGCTCATCGAATTAAAAGCAACTGCTTATTTCTCTATCCTCTGTGGGGCTATGTAGAAAGGAGGTGCTAATAAATGTTTGCTAAGCTGGGTGACTCATCTCTGCAAGCCCTACAGAGCCAAGTCCATTGGAAGCCTTGGATATAACGGGTGCAAATAAACATTTGTGGATTTCATTCAATTACTTGGCTATACATCCCCTGCAGTGCCCAGGATAAAGTGGTGGTTAATAAATGTGCATTGTATTGAATTTCTCGTTTCTGTATCTTCAATAGTTCCATACATAGTGTCTCGCTCATAGTTGGCAAGTTGACCTGGTTGGGGGAGACCCGTGAAATCCTGTCCACTGGTCAGGCGGTGACACGCTGGGGAAGGGGTCTGGCTTCCCCACATCGAAAGATTATCTAGACCAACTCTTCTGCATCAGTGCTCACTCTCTCGTTGATTTCATCCAGCCTCACACTGTAAATTCCCTCTCTCTGCTGATGGCTTTCAGAGCTGTATCTCCAGCCTCGTCCCTCTCCGGACGTCCAGACTCATAGGCCCAACTGCCTATGCCTTGACATCCCCCCTTGGGCTTCCAGTAGAGCTCTCCACCTTAACACACCCAAGGATGGATTCTTAGTTTATTCTGCAAACTCGCTCTTCTTAGAGCAGTCCCCGTCTCAGCCACGGGAACTGCATCCATCCCGTTGCTCAGGCCCAAACCTTCAGTACCGTCCCTGTGTCCTCTGTCCCTCCCTCCCACGTCAGTCGCTCACAGACCCTGTTGGCTCCACCTTCAACGCACATCCGGAATCCCATCCCTCCTCACCACCGGCACTGGTCCAGTCACCTCCTCCCTGATCTCCCGACTTCCAACCTCGCCCCTAGAGTCTGTATTCAACGTGGCAGCCAAAAAGTCATTCGTTTATAATCATGTCACTCCTCTGCTCCCCATCCCACTGAGAGTGCAGCTGAAAACCTTTCAATGGCTATTGAAGCCTCCCTGATGCAGCTTCTGTACGGTACCTCTTCTGAGCTCCCTGGACACTCTCCCCCTCACCCCCCTTTAGCTACACCGACCTTCCTGCTATTCCTCAATCATGACAGATACACTGTGCCCCAGGACCTTTGCCCTTGCTCTTCCCCCTGCCTGAACATGCTTCCTCTAGCTTAGTAGTTCTCCGAGTGTGGTCCCAGACTGGCATCAGCATCACCTGGGAATTTGTTACAAATGCAAACATTTCTGACAGCCCAGACCTGCTGAACCAGAAACCCTTGGGGGAGGGAGGCAGCACATCCAGATAATTTGGGTGCACAATAAAGTTTGAAAGCCATCGTTTCCCATAGCTCCTTGGTTCCCTTCCTTCGGATCTTTGTTCAAACGTCCTCTTATAGAAAGAGAGGCCTCCCCCGGCCCCTCTATTTACAGTAGCGCTGCCCTCAAATCACTCCCAGTTCCCTTATTCTGCACAGCTCTCAGGCCACCGGGCATATTGCACATGTGCTTGTTTGTTTCCTTCCTGTCTCTCTCCCTGCTGTAGTGCGCAGGCCTACTAAGCATCCCCAGTGCCTGGGACAGTGCCGGGCACACAGTAGGCACTCAATAAACGTCTGTTGCTAGAATGGACCCCCTCAGTGCTTAGCAGGGTACCTGGGGTCCACAGGGGGTGGGGACCTGCCCAAGGTCACCGGAGGAGCCAGGCCTCCCGACTGCCAGCGCAGACCCGCTCCGCGGCGTGGGCTCCGTGTGGCTGGCGTGCCCCTGCTCAGAAGCGAGGCGCGGTGGAGGCCCCCGGCACACTTCCCTTCCCTTTTAAGCTGTGAGTGGTTTAATTTGCGAGCGCTGCTGCCTTTCATGTCCTAAGCTGCGTCCCTGCTCCCTCTGATCTCCGAAGCTGCTGGGACCCCGGTGCCGCTTGTCCGCCCCGCCCTCCGCAGCCCAGATCAGGAGGCTGCGTAATTGTGACTGATTTTCAAAGCCGCCTGGAATCTCCGCAAGCACCCTGGTGTCAGATTCGCTTCCCCTTCAAAAAGTTGCTCAAATGAAATAAACTAATTTAATTTCCGCTTCTCCCCTCCCCCTCTGTGGGTTCCCCAGCTTGTCGAAATGGAGTCACGCTGCCTCTGACTCCTTCCTGAGCAGGGTGTGAGCCTTGGTGGCCCGGGGGCGGGAGACGGGGCGGGGCTGTGTCTCTTGGGCCGGTGCCGGACTGGGGGCTGGCTCTGCCTCCTACTCCCTATGTGACCTTGGGTGAGGTCTTCTCTTGGTCTCAGTTTCCCCACCTGTGAAACAAGGACCCTTTTCACACCACCAGCCTGGGGGCCGCGCCCAGCAGCTTGCTCCATCACCGACTCGCTGTGTGACTGTAGCTACATCTTCTCTTCTCCCTGAGCCTCAGTGTCCCCATCTGTTCAATGGGGATTCTAACACCAGTCCTGCGGCCTCCCAGAGTCGCAGTGAGAGTGCAGTGGTGCTGGACAAGCCAGTACTTCCAACTTAGCATGCCTGAAAGCAACGTCCCGATTTCCCTCCATCCCCCAAACCTGCTCCTCCCCTCTCAGTAAATAGAAATTCCATCTATTCAACTGCTCAGCTGAAAACCCTCACAGTCATCCTTGATTTTCTTCCTCTCACACCCCGCATCGGATCCATTAGCAAATGTTTGCAGCTCCACTTGCACAACAGATCCCAAAGCTGGCCTCCTTTAACACCTCCACTCGTACCACCTTGTTCCAAGCCACCACCATGTCCTACCTGGCTAATTGCAATATCCTCCTCAGGGGCACCCTGCTTCTGCCCTTGCCCTTTCCCGCCCAGCTATTCTTCATGACACAGCCAAGGGGTCCTGTTCGAACTAAGTCATATCATGTCATTCTTCTGAACAAGACCCTCCACTGACTTAGCTTGCTCAGCATAAGAGGCAAAGCCCTGAGTCTGCAAGATCTGTCGCTTCTTCTCCTGGGGGGATTCAACCCCAGGGCCTTTGCATGTGCCGTTCCCTCTGCCCGGGGCCATGCTCTCGCTTCCTTCAGGTCTTTGCTTCAATGTCACCTCCTCAGAGGGGCCTCACTGGGCCAGTGATCTATTTGTTTACTTGCTTATTGCCCATCTTCCATGGCCAGAATGTCCCCTCCATGAGAGCAGGGAGTCTTGTCTGCTTTTTCACTGCTGTGTCCCCAGGGCCTCGCACATAGTAGATACTCAAAAATATTTGTTCAGCGAATGAATGAATACACTCAAATACACACGTAGCATGTCACATGCATGCACAGGTCTTATAAAGCACCCCTCGGCTAGCCGTGTGTGCACGTCTGCACACGTGTGGCATGCACATGTACAGCAGGCACACATGGACGCCAGCCTGCGCCCATATTCACACCCTGCCATTCCCCATTCTCCCGCCATCCCATTGTGCCCACCTTCTCCCTGGGCCATGCCCCCTCCTCCACGGCTGGCTGCCTGTTTGTTACCCGCCAGTCTGCCAGATTTGGGCCAACCTGGGAAGCTGGGGCTGACTGTACTCCCCGCCAAGAGCCACAGTAAGTGCCCCTCCCGCCCACGGAGCTGGGAGGGCCGGGGAGAGGCAGTGCCAGCCCTCGGCCACCTCAAGTCAGCCACGGAGCGTGGCTGGCGGCCTATGGCGGCTGCTCCCTGTGTGGCCTGGCTTGCCCATGGCTTCGGGTAACACAGCGGGACGGAGATGGCAGCCACTGGCTCGTGCCCCTCACCCCATGGCTCCGGTTTCTACCAGAGCCTCAGGAGCCCAGGCTAGGCGGGGCTTTGACAGTCAGGCAGCTGTCTGGGGTCCCACAGTGAGAGAAGGCAGAGTCACCCGCCCTTTAGTCTCAGTGTCCTGTTGCTGTGTGAGTGGGTTTCCGAGTACGGCTGTGTCAGCTGTCTTCGTGCAGATGTGTGTTGGGGACGTGCGCAGCCCCCTGCGTGTGTGCAGCCCCCCAACGTATGCAGCCATACTCGGGTACGTGCAACCGAATCTGTGTCTGGGGGCTCAGCCACCTCTGTGCGAGTCTGTTCCCAGGTGGCCGGGTCTTGGCGAGTTGTGGCTTCCTTGCAGCCGGTGGACGCAGCTGTCTAGAGGTTGTTCATCTGGCTGTGGCCATGCCTGTCTGCAGTTGTTCTCTGGTGGGCTGGGCCCCACGATGGGAATGCCCGGTGGTGGCTTTTGCACATGGCCAATCTGTGCAGAATCTTCACCTGTGTGAGGGGTCGTGTGTGGCCATGTCGGGGTGTGAGGTCATGTTGGGATCTGTGCCTGGGCCTTGTTTAAGCTGTGCCCCAGCATGGTTTTTCCTGGCAGCAGCCGTGCCTGAAGATGGGACTGTGTCTGTCTGTGTGTAGTTGAACTTTCCTGAAGGGCTATGTCAAGGTGTCCACCTGTGCCTGTGTGTGTGGTCGTGTCCAGATGTCGCCTGAGTGGGGGCCGCAGGTGCAGAGGTGAGCCTGGGTGTGTGGTGTGTCTCTATCCGTGGCTGTGTCTGCATGTGTGACTGTGTGTGGGTGTACGACCATGACTGAGTACATAAACCACCGTGACCATGTCCGACCATGTCCTTGTAGGGGCTGTGTCCATGGATGTGGCTGAGGTCACGTGTGTGGCTTTGTCTAGCACCACAGTTGGCCCCAGAGGGCACTGGGCTCATGTCTGTACCCTGTGCCCTGGGCCAGCTGCACCTGTCTGCCTACCCCTCCCTAGAGGATCGGTCACTCCCGCTCCCTGCAGGCTCCACTTGGGACCTGGCAGCCCCTCTCCCTTGCGGGCACGTCACCCTGCCCTGCCCCCAGAGCCCGCAGCCCACCTGTGGGCGACAGCTCGGCCACGCTGCCGATGTAGGGGCCGTGCAGGAAGCGGGGCTCGCTGTCGTTGATGTCCTGCACCTTGATGATGAACTCCGACTCGGGCTCCAGCAGGCGGTTGGTAGCGCGATCCCGAGCCTGGGCCCGCAGCGTGTAGAAGGTTTTCTGCTCCCGGTCCAGGCGCTCCATGGCATGGATGTCACCGGTCAGCTCGTCGATCAGGAAGATGGTCCCCGCGCCCTCGCCTGAGATGGTGTACTTGATGGCCCCGTCACCCTCGTCTGAGTCCGAATGGATCTGGGGAGGCAGGAAGGAGGTGGGGGGAGGCTGGGGAGGAAGCTCCTTCCCGCCTTCCCCCTGCAGTCCCACTGGGGGTCTGTCCCTAAGCACATCGCTTCTGCAGCACACGGAGGCCAGGGCAGCTGTGCTCACTGCACACCGGGTCTGGCTGTCTCTGGCCCGGAGTTTTTCCCCAGCCCTCCGTGGCTCTCCCTGCTCCAGCCCCACCCCTGTAATCTACCTTCCCCTCTGCACCCAGAGCTACCAGCCTCGGAGGCAGATCTAAACTTGGCCTCTCCTGCTTGCAGCCTTTCCAGGGCTCCCATTGCCTTTACAAAGAAGTCCAGAGCCACCACCACACCTCTCTGGCCCTCAGTGAGCAGAGCCCTGGGCTCCTGGTTTGAGCCCCTCACCTCCTTTCTCTGCCTACTCGTCCCGCAAGGCTCGGCCCCAATGCCACCTTGCCCAGAAAGCTTTCCTGGATCCTGCCACTACCGCCTCCCAATTCCCCTCCAAGACCTCTCAGAACATCACGCCACCACGATCAAGCCTCCCCCCGTGCAGGAGGGCTGTAGCCAGCGTTTCTCCAACCTCCTGTGCGCGTGCATCGCCCGGGAGCTTGTTCAAGTACAGACTCCGGGGAGGCGGCCTCAGAGTTTGCATTTCTAACAAACTTCCAGGTCCGCCTCTCCCCAGACTCCAAGCCTGGGGTAGCACCTGACACATCTAGGCTTATGGAGAGCCAGGCTCTAGACATGGCGCATGGCGAGGACAGGGAGCGCAGGACAGAGGAGGAGAGGGACGCAGACTGAAGAAGCACCTGCATGCACCAGGCGCAGTGCTAAGCAATTTATAGGCGCATCCAGTTCAGGATTCGTTTTCAAAAAACCTACTGGAGTAGGTTTTGCTATCCTCATTTTAGGGATTTTATTTTTTCTTAATTTTCTTACTGATGATCAGAGAAGTAGGGTGATTTCCTCAAGGTCAGAGTGCTGGAGGAGCTGGCCTGGCCCACAGCCTGGTCTTCCTCGCCCCATCCTAAGGCCTCTGGACAGGAGCCCGTGGGGAGGGACAGGCAGTGCGGCCTTGCCTGGCCTTGGCTCTGACATCAACTCCCTGTGTGTCCTTCCCCAAGTCACTGCACCTCTCTGGGCCTTGGTTGCTTCACCTGTAACATGGGAATCCTAACGGCGCCTCCCTCCTGGAGCTACTGAACCGAGACACTGCATAAGGCCCTCAGCAGCTGCCGGGCACCGTGGGACATTTATATTTCCCAGCCAGCGTGGCAGGGGACTGCCCACAGAATGGTGGCGCAGCAGGGCCCCACCGGGCCTGGCAGGAATCCTCTAGTTGCTGGATTACAGAGAGGTCCGAGGGGCTGAGCGCTGGGGTGCGGGAGAGGGACTATTTACTGCAGGTATATGGAGGTTTTCTACTATTTTACAACCGGCTCAACTACCCCCATTTGTACTAGCTGAAAATCAGCCCTGCCTGAGACATAATAAGTGTCCAATAAATGGTAGCTATCGTTATTATTATATTATTACTAAATGTTACCTATATATAACTGGGATTCAATTCCGGCACCATTAGGCTCTGGATCCCGGGCTGTTTTCACTGCCTTGAGATCTCTTGGGCGAGGAAGCAGCAATAAGCCTGTTTTCTTGCAAACAGAAACACCTAAGTCCTTAGCCTTCGATGCCCAAATCTCCAAGGCAGCCCTGAGCAGAGGAAAATCCATCCCGATGAGGCCAGTGGCTCTGAGTGTCTCTCTAAGTTTCCGCGGAGATGGGATATGAACGAGAGAATCCCTGGAGTTCGCTTCGGGGCGGGGCGCTGAGGGCCCGGCCCACCCAGCAGGAGAACAGGTGCCAATGAAGCTGTCACGCAGGGGGAGGAAAGCCCACCCCCTGCCACGCAGGAGGAGCCCGGGTATAAATTCTGCTGGTGGAACTTTGTGTCTGAAAGGTGGATTATAGAAGTGCCATTTGGAAGATTGAATGGCCCATAAACATTTTCATATTTCATTAGCCGATTAATGGGCATCTCTCTCTTTTTGGCGAGTCTGCTGATTCTCAGCAGAAATTGCGGGGAGTAAATGGAGGCGTCTGGTGGAACCTTTCCGGGTCCCCGTCCTGTTATAGATTGCCCCAATTAATGCCCGTCCTGGGCTCCACTGAGAAGCCTTCTTCCTGTCCAGTTACTGTTAATAGATTTCTCATAAGTGGCTGGATTGTAAAAACCTCATAACTCAGTTTAATGCCCCCAATAAAATTATCTCAGGACGTCAGCCCTGAATCACTGGCTGTGGTGGGGATGAGGGGACCTGTCTCTCCTGTTTGCTGTTTATGCTTTTCTCCCACCTTTGCCCAAGGGAGATAGGATGGCAGAGGGTGAATTTATTCTCTCTTGGGTGTTTCTATCTACTCCCCAATCAGATCTGTTGTCTGATCATTTAATGAGCAAACATTTCTGAGCAGTGTGGTAAAATAGTCACTATTCTCATTAGTCTTTGTTGTTGTCCTAGGAAGCATCATTATTCCCACTTCTCAGATGACAAAACTGAGGCACAGAGTGGGGAAGTCATTTACTGTGTCACTCAGCTAACGGTGGGAAGCCAAGCTCCTCACTCTAATACTCACTAATGTTGTGACCACGGGCTTATTAATCTTACCTCTCTGAGCACCTGTTTTCCCACCTGAGAAATCAGATCCAGCCTTACCTGGAGCAGGTGTGGTGAGGATTAGATGAGAGCATGTTTGTAATGACCTAAGCACTCTGTAAATGGCCGTTTCCCTCCCTGTCTCCCGGGTCTCCGTCCTGTCCCCACAGCCCTTGACATTTTAATTCAGACCCCAGACAGGGATCACTGACGAGTGGGGAGTGCGGAGGAGGGAGTGGAACCCAGCGGTGATGTCATCGACGTTCTGCTGTGAAGGATGACACACAGCTCATGCTGGGGCCCGGTGGCTGGTCTCCGGGGACTGTGGAGTCCGACAGGGCCAATCGGCCGGGGCGGGCGGGAAGAGCTGGGAGCTACAGACGCAGCTCCTGGGCCGGGGCAGTCTGCCTGCCCGCCTGGGCCCTGGCTCCGGAGTGGAGAGGGAGCATCTCTGGCTCTGCCCTGGCAAGGTATTTCTCAAGGCGCTCAGCTGTGAGTGGAGGCTGGAGGACGATGCTCTCACTTATGGAGACCTACTGTGTGCCAGACTCGTGTTGCAGGCTGTCTGCCGAAATCTAACTCGACTTTGTGGAGTGTGTTGATGTCTCCCCGTTTTCCAGGTGGAGAGGCTGAGACGGGCCCAGCTCTGTTGGACTCCGCAGTGCAGGCTGGTCCTCCTGCAGCCTCTGGAGATGTGGTTAGTCTGCTAACAACGCTCTGGCGGAGGAGGAGGAGAAGAGGGGAAGGACTGGGTGAGTGCGGGGCCGTCGCGGGGTTGCGATGCTGGGGGAGCAGCCTTGACACCAGTCTTCGCCCCGCACCCAGCAGGCCTCTCCTCTCTGAGCCTCCGTGTTATCACTCGGAAAAGAACCTCAAACCGCAAATCAGGACAGGTGATGGGCCTGGGGTCAGGTGCAGCTGGGTGCCAGCTTCGCCTCTGCACAGCCCTGGGAAAGTGGCTACCCTTCTCTGATCCTCAGTTTTCTCACCTGTAAATGGGGCTGCTTCCCCATAGATGCTGAATATTCATAAGATAATACATGGAAGCTCCTGTCACATAGCAGGTGCTCAATGTAGATTCCTCCCTTTCCCTGCCCTGGTCTCAGGAGGGGTTGAGGAGTCACATAGTTCGCCCCTTCACGTCCTGACGTGAGAACCAAAGACTCAAATCCTGACCCGCTGGCGGTGCAAGGGACATCATCCGACACCTTCCTGTTCTTTTAGATTCGGCTTGTTTCCTCCTCCAGGCAGCACTCTCAGATGCCCTCCCATTTGGCTGAAGAGCCCTCACCCGCTCTGTCCCTGTGCCCTGCGCATGCCCGTCGATTCCACGAGCCCCGTAACACCTAGTGCTGCCCTCCTATGTGTCCCCGGCTGTCGTGGGCCTCAGGGTGTGGACTAAACTTGAACGCCCCACACCCGGCACCCTGACAACGCCTGCAGAGAGAACACAGGGCGTGGGAGCGTTGAACGTGGGTGTGAGCGTGCACGTGCACGCACTCGAGGCAGCGAGACCGCAAGCGCCCCTCGGGCGGAGCCCCGGGCTGTTTGTGCCCACATCCCCAGCACCCAGCACAGGGCACGGCCCCAAGCATCCTGAATACAGGGATGATGAGATTCGCAACTGTCATCGGAATCCCCCACTGTCCTCTGGGATTCTGGAGGATCCAGCCACTCTGCTAAATCCCAGGTACACACGAGCTAGTCTGGGGACGGCAGTCGCCAGGGCCTATAACGCACCAGGCACGGTTCCGGACCCCTTACTGCCATCTCAGCCATGCCTCGCCAAGACCCTGCGCGTCAGAGGTTACTCAGATCCGAGAGCTGCATGTGGAGACGGCCCTAACCCTACCTGGAGCCACACGGCTAGCGGGAGGCAGCCCCGAGGCCCGGCTGACACAACATCCGGGGTTCTTACTGCCACATCAAGTGTGGCCAGCCCCGGAGGAGAAATCCTCCCCACAAGCCCCATCCCTTGATCATAAACAACATGAAAAACACAAGAGTGATGGTTTCTCATCCCAGGGGGCTGAAAAATGGGATTTACGAGGCCATTAATTACTTCCTCCTAATTAAATCAAAATTAAATTCGAGCAGAGTTACGTTTCCCTTATTAAAGACAATTAAACGGACAGTGCGGCTACGCAAATAAAATGAGTCCAGGATTTAAACGGGAAGCAAATCAAATAAAAAGCCTCCCCCGGAATGAGGGGTCTGTTCACGCCTGTGCTACTCGTAAACCAGGAGTTCATCAATTTTCTTTAAATATTAGCAACTTAATTAAATGTGCTCTCCTCCCCACTTTAATCCTGCCGTATATCTAAAATAGATCTCACCGCCCACAGGAGTTGGTCATAAGTGCTGACCCCATAATTCTATCTTTTTTTAAAAAAAAAAAATTAAAAATCCTACAAAATCCACATCCAGCTGACAGAAGCCTCGGGGGAAATTATAGTTCGGAAAAGGGATTAGTCAAAGTACCCAGATTTTATGGAAATGCTGGGAGGTTGCTTTGAGGGTGGGTGTTGTGGGAAGGTGCAGGGGAGAGGTGGGCTGGGGCTGCTGTCGGGGGCAGGACTGAGGCGGGAGCTGTCTGGGGCCTCGGGGACAACCTCGGGGCCCCGTGGTTCCTGTGGGTGCCGACAGGAGCCTGGCGGGTGTGATGGAGGAGGCGGCTGTAAAATAGGTTACCGCTGGGCGCCTGGGGTTCAGGCCGCGGATGGTGCTGTTGCTAAGCTACCTTTGGAATCCGACAAGGACGGATGCTCCGAGCGGCTCCCTGGGGCGGGGGGGACCGGGAAGAAGTGAATTAACTGAAACCGTGGTGGAGTCCCTTCTCCCCGAAGAGCAGGAGAGCATGGCACGAGCGTGTGCGTAGGCACACACACACGGCACGTACACCCGGGCGGGACGCGGCTGGAAAGGGGACAGGTGGCTTTTAAAAGCCCAAGCTCATATTCCTAGGGTAGGAGGTGGGCTAATGACAACCCCCTCGCTCCCGACTACGGGGTGATAAACTAGGATGTCAGGTTGCCAAGAAGTCTTCTGGGGTTCGGGGCAGGGGCTCGTAGTATCTGTGTAGAAGGTATACTCGAGGTGGTGGAAATATCAGAGACTTATAATAAAAGTCAAGCACGTGCCGGGAGAGGAGTACTATTCTAGGGGCTTGACACATGCTAACTCATCAAATCGTCACCACAACCCTTTGAGTCAGGTCCTGGTAATAACCTCACTCAACAGATAAGGAAACTGAGGCACAGAGAGGGTAAATACTGTCAGCCTTCCCTATCCACAGGTTCCGTCTCCATGGATTCAACCAACCAAGGATTAAAAATATTTGAAAAAAACCGTGTCTGTACTGAACATGTACGGGTTTTTTTCTTGTCACTATTCCCTAAACAATACAGTATAACAACTATTTACACAGCATTACACTGTATTAGGTTTGATAAGTCATCTACAGATGATGTAAAGTATTCAGGGCGATATGAGTAGGTTATATGCTAATATTATGTCATTGCATATCAGGGACTTGAGCAGCCTTGGATTTTGGTATCCCGGGGAGGTCCTAGAATCAACCCCCCACCGAGGGGTACCAAGGACAGCTGCAATGTGCCAAGGTCAGAGAGCTCATAGCAGCAGGGCTGGGCTGGGGCCCAGGCAGTCTGGCTCCAATTACCTCCTTAACCACACATGGCACCACCTCTCAAAGGAAAGTATGCATTGGACAAACGTTTGCAAAGAGGTGGAAACTTCTTCCTCGTTCCTTTCTGGAGGTGGCCTTGAGAGTACGAGGGTGGGAGCTCTGGGTGCAGGTGATGGAGGAGGAATACAGGAAGTCAGGACAGCAGTGGGAACACTGAGAGGTTGCTATGAGGAAAGGGAAGGTCCCCAGGCCTGGTGCAATGCTTGGCTCCACTGCATACAGGACTCTGGACGTGAGCATGGAACTGGTGTCAGGAGACCTGGTTTCGTGGGTTGGTTCTGTCACTGTGTTGCTGTGTGGCCTTGTCATGATCCTCTCTGCCTCTGAGCCTCCGTTTCCCCTTCTTATCATATAGGGACTTACTCAGTCGGCCCTCCCATCGAGGACAGACTGTGGACCCAGGAGATGGGGGTGGGGTTTGGCTCACACTGTCAAGAGGATGAAGGCTTGGTGGATGCAGCTGGAAGCGGTGAATCAGCAGCTGGCTTTGCTCATCTTTTCAGGATGTGGGGGGTGGGGAGGCCTGTGCAGAGCCCCCCTGCTGGGTGGAGACAGGGCTGAGGGGCCTTAGACAGCCATCTCATCGGACATTTGGGCAGATGTATCACAGCTCTTCCCTGTCTCTCTGAAGTTCTCCTGCACCAAAGGCCTTTTCCCAGGCCTGCAGGTCTCAGAGAGGGCTGGAGAACCAGGCTGGGGCTGGTCTCTCCTTTTTCTTTGTTGGGGGCTTAAAAACCCCAACTCACACGGGTTCAAATCCTGGCTAAGCTACTTGCCCACTCTCCAGCTTTGCCCCTTCTGGCCTCAGTTTCCTCACCTACAAAAGGGAATGACGATTTCTACCTTGCAGCTTAAGGGTTAAGTACCTTATATGGGAAAATAAAGTGAATAAGCCACAGGCTGAACACTTCATGCGCTCAGTTTCTTCCTTAATCTTCAAGGACCTTAGGAAGTGGGCACTTGGAGGGCCGTGTTTATGGATGAACAGACTGAGTCTGGGGTAGGGGGAGTGACTCATTCAAAGTCACATGGTGAATGGGTGGACAGGCCTTGGGTGTGTCTTTCTCCAAAGCCTGTGTTCTTGGCTACTCCATTAGCGACAGCATAGTCCCTCCTTCTGTACCCTCGCCTGGTCCCCAGCCCGGCCATCTCACAGCCCGGGCCGGGAGTCAGCCGTGCTAGGCTCTGCCACTGGGTTGCTGACCGAGGCCCTGAAGCTACTTGAGCTCTATCTTGTCAAGTCCCTGCTTTGCTCAGTTGTGGGGGGATCACCCTCAGCCACAGGTACGGAGGGGAAAGTAGCGAAGGACGAGGGATTACTCTGTCTAGATCAGAGAAAATCTGGGCTTCCTGCAAGCCAGCCCGGAGGTTTGCATCTAGACCTTCCTCCTTTCCCTGTCCAGCGTCCCGATCCCCGCGCCTCAGCACTGCTCAGCCTCCCCAGCCTCCACTCGTGCAAGCACACAGGGCACTCTGGAGCGGGTCTGCCTCGGCCCTGCTGCCAGCCAAAACTCCCTGGAAAGCTGACTGGCCTTAGCAAGAGCCAGAGGACGGTCCCTGAGCACCGCTCCACTTTCATGCCCTACGATCATCCTCCACTTGAAGCCCTCAACTGCTGACGAGGCTCTGAACAAACCAGGCACCTTCAGGCCCTCTCCCCATCAGCCTGACGAACTCCTACTTATACGTCAAAGGCCAGTCCAGGTGTTTTCTCATCCCCGAAGCCAGCCAACAGGTCCCATTTAATCAGTGCCAGGTGCTGACTTGTGACGCTTTTCACGTACCAGGGTGTCTCTGCCAATCTGGGGAGCCCCAAATGGCAGAGGCTGGATCTTGCCCTGGTTTCCCCAGCATCACACCCGGGCCCCACGGGGCTCAGGGACTGAATGGATGAATAAAAGTCCTTCTCAGCTCTTTATACTCCCAGGGCACAGCTCTTCAGCCAGACTCACTAGCATTTATTCAGAGAGTTTGAGAAAGTAGCTTTCATTCATTCATTCATTGATTTAATGAGCAGTTTGCGAGCCATGTCTGTGCTAGGCACTGGGGATTTAATGGTGAGCAAAACAAACACGGTCTAATAGGAAAGACACATATTAATTGCATAATCAAACAAACACATGCATAATTAAAGTGTTATGAAGGACAGATGCAGGGGCCTCAGGAGGCACGTAACGGGGGATCTGTCCTGGCCTGGCGTGGTTGGGAAGGGCTTCTCTAAGGACGTGGCATTTGGGCTGAGACCTGCAGTGTGGAGGGGCAGGAAAGGGCAGTCCAGGGGGAGGAAACAGCCTGGGCAAAGAGGCGGTGGCAGGAGAGTGCATGGGGCATTGGAGGACCTCAGAAAGGCGCCCTTCAGAAGGGTAGGGTGGCTGGAACTCAGCGAGAGGGGCAGGAGAGGGGGCTGGAGGAGGAGCCAGACTTCTGTAGTCAATGGGATGGAATTTGGGCTTGACCCCAAGTGCAGGGGAAGCTGTTGAAGAATTTTAAGTAGAGCATGTGTGTGAGATGATCAGATTTGCAGACTTGTTCTAAATTCCACTTGCATCTCCCTGCAAGAGGGACTGGCTTTACCTACTCGCCTCTCCTCTGTAAGAGGCAAGAGGGAGGTGGAGGAGAGAAGGGCGTGGGGTGGAGGAGGGGGCTGGGGTCAGGACGCAGTTGTCTGCCCCTGGCCAGGGAGCCCCTGGAAGGAGGCAGGCCGGGAAGCGGGACCAGGGATTTAGACGGCTGGGGAACTAGGGTCCCTTGCATCTACCAGTACGCGTCCCCGGGGTCCTGGGGGCAGGCGTGGGGCCCCACTTTACCTTGCCCACGTACAGGGGCTCGGTGCCCGTGTACTCCTCCACCACGAAGAACTGGTTCCACACCCAGCCGCGTTTCACGCGGCCCGCGCCCAGCGCGCCGTCCTGCCGGGCCCCGGGCGGCGTGGGCGCGGGCGTGCCCGCTGCCCACAGGCGCCCCAGCAGCGGCGGCGGCGGCGGCAGCAGCAGCAGCAGCAGCAGCGCGGGCGACAGCGCGGCTCCCGCTAGGAGCCCCCTACCGTCGGGCCGCGGCCTCATGCTTGGCCTGCGCTGGGCCGGGGCCGGGGAGCATGGACGGGAGGCACCAGGGCGCCGCCGCTCGGTCGCACAACGAAGCGACGCGGTGTCACATGGTGGCCTCAGCGCGGCCGCCGGGACGCCGCCCCCGACGGGGCACCCGGACAGGCCCGTGGCCCAGAACGCCGTCCGGCGGGCGCGCCCGGCTGGAGGGGGAGGGGGCGCGGCCGCACCCGGGGCATGGACAGCCCCCGGGGTCCCCGCCCGCGCCCCCCTCGCCGCGTCGCGTGCAGATCACCAGGCGGCGCCTCCGCAGCTCGGGAGTGGGCTGTGCGCCATGGTCCCCGCGCAGAGAGGGTGCGGGTTGGGGCCGGCCGATCCTTGAGGACTAGGGGCCTTCCTCATCCATCAGGAGCCTGCAAGAGAGACAGGAAAACTTCAGAGGGGCTCTGTGTGGGGGGAGGCAAGTTCAGTCCTGTAGCTACTAATTAAACACCTACTGTGTGCCCGGCACTGTAGTGCCCAGTGGTCCCTGTCTTCTTGGAGCCCACAGTCTAGCAGGCGCCTTTCTCCCCCACCCCCTGCCAGGGATCCTTTCTTCTCTCACCACACCCGCTCCCACCCGGCCAGCCCCTCCTGCCCCTTGTCATAGCCCCTCACCCAGCTCCAGCTTCGTGGTCCTTCACTAGCCCCCAGGCCCACAGAGCAGGCACCTTAGCTGTCACCCTGCCCCTGGCTGACAGTCTATCCAGCCCAGACCCCAGAAACCGCCCATCCCAGCTGCTTCTAGAAGGGGTTCAAGAGCTGCTGAGACCCGGGCCTGGTGCACAGACTCCAGCACCCAGGCCGCCGCCCACACTCCTGCCCTCCCGGAGCAGCACAGGGGGCCACTCCACGCCTAACAGGAGCCAGGGAAGGCCCTGTGGCCTGCCATCGCCCCCACACCTCCTTCCGGGGATGGAGCACCTGAGTCCCAGAGTGCCTTGCTTGGAGCCACACCCTGTGTGACTTTGGGCAGGGTCACCGTCCCTCTGGGCTTGCCTTTGGTGTCTCCATATCCATCCCCCCCCAAAGCCTGTCCTACCCAGAGACTGAGCGACGCCCCTCCTCCCCGTTCCTGGCCCAGCGCTGGTCCCCAGATCAATCCGTCTCTCTCCCCGCCTCCATCAGATCCTGCTCTCAGCAAGAAAGGGTCTGAGGGACTAACGCCTACTCAAGCATAATGATGAATAATGGCTTAATGTGGGTGTTTACAGGGGCGGCCGGGCTGCTTTAATGGAGGAGTTTTAGGCACGGAGATGAGTGAGTGGAGGTGAGGGGCTCGGTCCCCCCTCCGCCTCCCCCCAGGCCCAACTCCGCTCAGTTCAACAACTCAATCCCACCAAACTCCGGCTCCGCGCCAGGCCCCACCTGGGCGTGGGGAACAAAGGTATATAAGCGTGCGGTTTAGCTGGCTGGGAGATGAGACCCCTCCCCGTAACAACCTAGATACCGCTTGCACGTGATCAGGGCTATAATTGTGTGTGCGTGGGGGCACAACCTGAGACACGTGGAGTTCAGGGAGAAAGTGGACACAGGTGTTTCCAAGGGGCAGGGAAGTGGGAGACAATCCGGGCTGCTTCTTGGAGGAGGGGGCATCTGAGCAGGCGGAAGGAAGGGGTGGCGCTCCAGGCAGAGGAGGGTGTTGCAGGGAGTGGACTGGCTGGCTCAAGGAGGTAGTTTGGGAGCATGAGGTGTGTGGCTGGGTAGAGGGTACGGGGAGGGGACCGCCCTGGCCTTCGCCAGATCTTCCTGAGGACAGCGGGAGTGGCCCAGCTCTCTAGGCAGGAGAGATGCAGACTCAGACGCCTCTGGCTCAGCAGCCCAGCGGGCAACTCCCATGAACTCACGTGAGTTGCGACTCTGAAAGTCGGTGTTTCATACCCATTTTGCAGATGCCTGACTCCCCGGTGCTCCTTCCCACAATTGGCTCAGGAAACGCTTTGTGGAAGGGGTTTCAGGGCAGGGGGTCACCTGTCTGGAGGCGAGGCTGGTGGGGAGGGGTCTCCACTGCATTTCCGGGCAACGAGAACGGGGAAACGCCAACAGTCCACAGGGAGGGATGGAGAGGAGGGTCCGGCATGTGCTGCCCCCTCTGTCCCTTGAGGCCGGACCCTGAACTAACGGGCGTGAGGAGGCATCCCCAGCACCCCCTTGGTCCCCCAGCCCAGCTCCATTCTGTGGGCCTGGGTGTTACGCTCCCCAACCCTGGTGGCCCCACCACGCCATCCTCATCTGTGCTGCCGCCTCCCCGCATTATGACCTGGGCTGGTCGTAACGAGGCTGGAGTGATGGGTGAGGAGGAGGTGCCGCTCCGGAGCCTTCATTTCCTGGAGCTTACGACTGACTTCCCTGCATGCACGGCAGGGACTGTCCCCCTGACTCTGCCAGGCAGCTCTGGGGCCCATCGCAGCCCTGCAGGGCTGCAGAAGGGAGGGCTGGAGGGAGGGAGATTTGGAGGGGGCTGGGGCCACCTCTGGAGACAGGTGTGTGGGCGAGGGAGGGGTGGCCGGCAGAGATCCCCAGTGTTTGCAGGCACCCAGCTGTTGCCCTCCCGGCCCCCTCCCTCCCTCCTGTCCTTTATTTCTTTCTTTATAACACCTTTTACAAGGAGGGGCACACTGACATTCAATCATTCATTCATTCATCAAACATTAGTGTCTACTACGAGGGGGGAAGCTAGAAATGCATTTCATCTATTCATTCCATTCATTCAACATACTTTACAAGTCATTTCTCTGCGTGAGACAGACAGCAAGACACACTCAGTTACTCAGCTGCGTGTCAGGGGAGAGGCATTCCTTCTGGTTATTCATCTGTCCCTTCCACAAACATTTACCAGCATGTCCCTGACGCCAGTCCCTGGGCTGGGCACTGGGGACACAGCAATAAACAAAATAAAGTCCCAGCCCTCGTGGGACTGACCTTCTGGTGGGGGCGACGCAATGAAGGAAGAATCCACGGAATGATTTCAGGAGTGCTGAGCATTCCGGAGAACAGCAGAGCAGGAAGGATGGAGAGAGGATGGTGGAAGGGATGGAGTGTGCTGTTCTAGATAGGGTGTCAGGGAGGGCTTCTCAGAGGAGGGACATTTGGCTGAGGCTGGAAGGGTGAGAAGGAGTTGGACACAAAGCAATTCCACACAGAGGGAACAGCATGTGCAAAGGTCCAGAGGCTGGAAGGAGCTGAGGTGGCACTTGCGGTTGCAGCACAGGAAGGATCTGGACACGTGGAGTGGGGGGTGTTGGGAGGAGAAGGTGCTTTTGGTGGCCGGGCTGCCCGAGGCAAAGGCCTGGAATCAAATCCCCACTTTAGAGAGGGGAAAGTAGATTCCAAGAGGATTCTACCAAGCGTAGTAGTTGGTGATGGAGCAATACGTCGAACCCAAGACCTGGATTCGCCTTGGCAGAGGGCACCTTTGGGGAACGGGACAAGGTGCCCTTCGGGACGGATGCAGCCAGTGCTGGGGCAGTTGGCAGGACAGAGCTGCTCCCTTGGGCAGGGAAGCCTGCACTGCCGATGGAGGGGTGGGGCCGCGGCCCTCACCCTCTCCCCCTCCCTCCCACACCTGGACCTTCATACCTCAGCCCGGGTCCTCCCGGCCCGCTGTTGGCCAGGTTCCCGGGCTGCCTGCCAGCTGCTCGCGCTCCGCACGGCCCTGCCAGGGCTGCCGCGGGCGCTTGGGCCTCCTCTCCCTCCCTTCCTCCCTTTCCTGCTCCAGCTGCCTTTCCTGAGTGGGCGTCAACTACAGGACCCCGCCCAGGCATCCGGCGTCTGTCTGGGGAGGCAGCCGTGCAGTCCTGGGGCTGCATTCAGCTCTCCTGGGACTCCCTGTGAGACCCCGGGCACGCCGGTGGCCTTCCCTGGCTGCAGGCCTCAACCCACTGCACAGAGCTCTTTAATCCAAAACGAGGTTAAAAACTGAGCCCTGGCCTGGCTTGGTGAATGCTGGCTTCGCCCCGTCTACCCTTCAATGTCACATCCTACAATCCATCTGTCTGCCCATGGGTCTACGTACATGAGTGTGGTTTCTACGAGTGTGTGGACATGTGTCTGCAGTCACATATGTGAGCGTGCATGAGTATCGGTGCACACTCGTTCATTCCACAGACATTTGTGAGTTTCCTCTCTGTTGTTCTAGGCACATAAAAAAAATCCCAAGCAGAGTCCTTCCTCTCGCAAGGTGGGGGACACAGACCACAAACACGTAACATGCCAGGTGAGGGCAACTGCTATGAGAAAAACAAAGCAGGGTAAGGGCACAGGAAGTTCTGGCAGGGATGGGATTAGCTGTCTGTCTGTCTGTCTATCTATCTATCTATCATCATCACCACAGTATTATAAATGACAATTTACACAGGGTGGTCAGGGAAGGCCTTGTCGTCAAGATGACATTGATCTGAAGTGAGGGAGGGAGGGGGCTGTGCACACAGCTGGGAGAAGAGAGCTCTAGGCTGAGGCAACAGCAAGTGCAAAGGCCCTGAGGTCAGTGCATGAGTGTGAGGGAGGAACACCGAGGAGCCCAGAGCTGCTGGATCGGAGTGCAGGGGGCAGCAGGGGATGAGGCCAGAGAGGCGTGGAGGGGAAGCAGTCAGAGCCTGCAGGGGCTATTCTGGGTTTTTATTGTGAGATGGGACCCCAAGGAGGGTTTCAGCAGAGGAGTTACGTGAT